TGGTAATCTACAACGCTACAAAAACTGTTAACAAGGAGGGTAGAATTAGCCTAAGCTACTCTTTCCCTTTGAAAAGTATTTTTTCTTGATTCAATAAACATACTTGGACTTGAACTGTTACCATATAAGGTCTACAAGTGCAACTGATCCAACCACGGACGTGCACGGAGCTGCCAGACGTATCAACGAAAAAATGTTTGAGAGTTTTTTTTTGTACACTAAAATAGTCACTTTTACGGAAGCTCAAAAACAAATATAATGCTGCAATTCAATTTACATGATAAATGTTCCTCTGTTTACTTGCTGATTAATTATACGATTAAGTAATTGGCACATTATGGTAATCCGGGTATTAACATAATATAGTGGAATTATTCAAACGCCAGCAACACCAGTGACAGAACCTGGCAGTTATAAGCAGATATGTTAGCCATGCTCCGCCCACACACTCCTAACTCTAACTATATCAACAAATAGTAAATATGGTGGTAATAATAATAATAAAAAAATGTATAGTTCAAGTTTATTGAGAAAAGGAAGTATATCTCAAAAAGGATAGAGTAGCTTAGGCTATTTCTACTCTCGTTACATAGTGATTGATTGATAAAGATTAAGCCACGCTAAAGGGGGCACGGGCATGAATAGCCCGTAATCATTACATAGTATATACCCTTCGTTATATAGTCACAAGTACTTAGTTTAGTTCATTTATTATGCACCCCATACCCATCTTGTGGGCGGTAGTGCTCACAGCAGAAAAGACACTTTTTTCAGAATTATCTGAAACTAACCACTGTATGCAATGTTAAATGGGTTTTCTTGTATTGTAATTTGTCTATTTGTACTCAGCGTTTGTGCGCCCCTTGAGGGATTTGAAGTAGAGGGGGGTAGAAATAGCCTAAGCTACTCTATCCCTTTGAGATGTATTTATTGCTTATCTCAATAAACATACTTGAACTTGAACCACTGTTACATAGTTTGTAATCATAATTATTAAATACAAAGGTATGGACCCGATTATATTTTCACAAGTTTTGCATAATTATTTCTCTAGTCGATCGGGACAGGAAAGTGGTTTGATTTTTAGGTATTTGTACTGCCTGGGGTCTGAGCTATTCCCGCGTCTGATGCCTGTTGACCATAGCATAAGCCTATTACCAGTTCCTAAACCTAGCGTGTGTTCCCTGAGTTATTGCCTGGCCTTAGTCCCATTGTGAGAATAGTGCCGTGAGCCTACTACAAGCTTTCCAGCATTGAGATGAGGCGATAGTAGGAGATATATTTCAGAAACACAATAGGCCTCCTCACCTTGATGTGGGATAATGGACTCATAGTTGTTTCAATATCTTCCACATTTTTTTTTTAACTTGAAGATTCTGACTATTTTCTAAGTTCTTCCTTTTACTGGTGGCTATTTTTATTTTAATTTATCGTACGCCTTTATCACTAAATTTAATTTAAGACTTGACTGATACTTGGCAGGAAGTGCAGAATAAGAAAAAAAGCAGAGGCGCAATAGGTATTCTGAGAGAGAACTCTTATCAACATCAGAGGCCCGAGACTCTTCAACACGCTTCCACTACACACACGGGGCATAACTCAACCTGTCCTCTTACAAATTACGTCTGAATTATGCCATTTGCCCGTATGGCCGAAAATGGACCTAATTTGAAAATAACAAATATTTGAAAATAAATTTTGCATTTTTTCCAAAACAGGAAGTTAAGGGTCTTCTGGTAGGTTAGGAGGGTATAAAGTTCTCCTAAGGTATCAAAACGTCATGCAAATCGTTAGTTGAAAGTTTCCTCTACTAACCTAACGGCCTAAGCCAGAGGCCCTAAAACAGAACAGTACGTCACTTTCGTGAACCGATTTAATTTCAAATTGCGTCCATTTTTAGCCATAGCGCGCATACAAGCGAAAAGCGACGCAATTTTAAGAGGACAGGTTGCACCACAAGGTGACGCGAAGTAAGGTAAAGTACTCTCCAACGTCAAGAAACACGCCTTCCAAAACGCTTTACCCTCTTACTACAATACAAATAAATACCTACATAAACAGAACGTCTAACCTATCCTAGGCCTAGCCAACAATGCGAGGTGAAGTAATTTTTGTGCAATATGACTTATCACATAATGCTATTTGTCAAGATCATAATTTATTTTCATTAACTATAACATTTTTCAGCCCATCCTCCTGTTTTGGTAGTACTTATAGAGACGATGAGGACCAAATTACATATACCGACGTTCAACGTAATTAAAAAGTAGAAATCGGACATTTTGAATTTGGACAGAGCGAAAAAGATTGTATATTCATGTTGCAAAGACAAACTAAACTAATCTAACCTTACTAGGCCTAATACACGCTGAGGCCTAATATAGTACATGTATGTACTATACTAGGCCTAGGAATATTTGTTTGTTTTTTAGCTTTATTTTCTTTTGGACTATAAGTGAAAATTACAAAATTCTACTCTCTAATTCATTAGTACGTCATCATTTGTACTATGGTGCACATAGTTACAAAAAGTACTATCTAAACAGGAGGATGGTTGAATTTTTTTTTAATATTTAACCCAATTATATAAAATGCATAAAAGTGTATATTTGTGTACTTGGACACAGGCGTTCTTTTAAACATATTTGCTTACTTACGATTTCGTGTTTCTGTATTGCTGTGACCGTTGTTCATAATAATAATACGGGCTCATTTGACTTAACGGTGCAAAAGCTGCCAAGAAGAGCGTGTACGTATTGGCCAACCTTCATATAGGCACTGATGACGCTTCTCTTATACCTGTCAGTACATTCACTCTTACCATTCATCCATTTTCCTGCGTCAGTTGGTTTACGGTACACATCTGTGATGAATCTACCCGAGTTACCGTCCACAAGAACATCATGGGATGGTACTCTGCCTCCCACACTTTTCTTGACAGTTAGCCTCAAACCTAAGATTTCTTGACGCTTGCTACGAAGCATACAAACAAGCATTTATATATATATATATATATATATATATATATATATATATATATATATATATATATATATATATATATATATATATATATATATATATATATAATTATAATTGGTCTCTTGGAAAATTACCATGTCTGTTTTCGGGCGTTTCATTGTTGGTCAGGTTTGTGTGAGGGTACAATGAGAGCGTTTAAGCCAGACTTAATTATCTCGTCCCGGCAGCAATGACACCAGATGACAGCTCAATTTAAAGCCTTAATTTAGAGGGAAGCTCATTACACAGCGTGATTGTATAGGCCAACGTTTATACTCGGCCTCGCTGCCAGATTACACAGGGAGTGGACATTACACAGGGCGTGGGCATTACACAGGGCGTGGGCATTACACAGGGCGTGGGCATTACACAGGGCGTGGGCATTACACAGGGAATGGGCTTTACACAAAGAGTGGGCATTACACAGGGAGTGGGCATTACACAGGGTGTGGGCATTACACAGGGAGTGGGCATTACACAGGGTGTGGGCATTACACAGGGAGTGGGCATTACACAGGGAGTGGGCATTACACAGGGAGTGGGCATTACACAGGGTGTGGGCATTACACAGGGTGTGGGCATTACACAGGGTGTGGGCATTACACAGGGAGTGGGCATTACACAGGGCGTGGGCATTACACAGGGAGTGGGCATTACACAGGGTGTGGGCATTACACAGGGCGTGGGCATTACACAGAGTGTGGGCATTACACAGGGTGTGGGCATTACACAGGGCGTGGGCATTACACAGAGTGTGGGCATTACACAGGTGTGGACATTACACAAGGTGTGGGCATTACATCACGGCCTGATATAAGTGAGTTAGCATTCACAGGTAACGAGTAGACCTTAACCTACACAGTAACTGGAGCAAGGTAGTACTACTGTAACTAGCAAGTCGTAGTCGCAATATTTTGCCATAATGTAAGTGTTCTGACTCTGCCCATACACTGCCAGTACACTGACAGTACACTAACAGTACACTAACAGTACACGTATACATATGTGGCCCCTAAATCATCACCTCTCCTGTTTATTCTGTTCCTCTGCTGACGTTGAAGTTACGTGTTAGTTTATTTGTTTGCCCTTCTTTGGCTTTCTTTAAATTTATTTGCTCCTGGTTCAAGTTCAAGTTTAAGTATGTTGACCAGACCACACACACTAGGAAGTGAAGAGACGACGACGTTTCGGTCCGTCCTGGACCATTCTCACAATCGACTTGAGAATGGTCCAGGACGGACCGAAACGTCGTCGCCCCTTCACTTTCTAGTGTGTGGTCTGGTCAAGTTACTTCTGCCACGTTATTGTGACTCATCGCCTGCAAGTTTAAGTACAGTATCTCTATTGAGACGAAGATACTTTTCAAAGGGATAGAGTAGCTTAGGCTATTTCTACCCTTCTCTTGCTGGTTATTGGTTGAAATTATTATTTGTTTTTAATTAATTGTGTCCGGGGGACAGGAAGCCAGAATATATTCATACACGTTAGGTTTATATCGAAATCCCCCCCCCCCCTCAAGTCGAATTGCACCCAAGATGGAGCCTACCAAAAAAAAAAAATAGTTTCCAGATGTCTTGTCTTCCTCACTACAGTCCCGTCCACTTATGGTTTTCAGCACAATTTTGTAACTATTTTAACAAAGTTTTAAATATTTTAATTGTTAAAATTCTGTATTTAACATTTCCAAATGCTGATGTAAAGAATACATTGAAACGATGCTAGTAATGAACTTTGAAATGTTTTAGTGTTCCACCTCTGTGACAATGCCCCAGGAGGTTCACCTCAACGTTTAATGTTTGACTCGTGAAACAATCCTCAATTCGAGAGAGAGAATAAGAAAATATATATATTTCGGTCACAGTTTTTTTAACCTGTACTTTCTAGTCATGAGGAGAGGAAAAAAAAGGGCGGCTGGTGCGGTACGACAGTTTAGGCTGCCTACACAACGGGCTGCGCGCGACCAGTCACCTCCGGACCCCAATGAGACGACGACGTGTCGTCGACGACGTGTCGACAGCAGCGGCTGTCTTCCCTTCGCAACAAGGTATATGGTGTAAGTTTGGTGCGGTAATGTCAAGATGACACTTACTGGAGCTTGTAGTTGCCTAGAAGGAACAATTATTATCGTTATTTGTGGCTCACCCTGCTAGATCTGGTGGTTGATAGGTCTTAGTGATCCTGGTGGTTGATAGGTCTTAGTGATCCTGGTGGTTGATAGGTCTTAGTGATCCTGGTGGTTGATAGGTCTTAGTGATCCTGGTGGTTGATAGGTCTTAGTGATCCTGGTGGTTGATAGGTCTTAGTGATCCTGGTGGTTGATAGGTCTTAGTGATCCTGGTGGTTGATAGGCCTAAATAATCTTGGTAGTTGATAGGTCTTAGTGATCCTGGTAGTTGATAGGTCTTAGTGATCCTGGTAGTTGATAGGCCTTAATGATCCTGGTAGTTGATAGGCCTTAATGATCCTGGTAGTTGATAGGTCTTAATGATCCTGGTAGTTGATAGGTCTTAATGATCCTGGTAGTTGATAGGCCTTAATTATCCTGGTAGTTGATAGGCCTTAATGATCCTGGTAGTTGATAGGCCTTAATGATCCTGGTAGTTGATAGGCCTTAATGATCCTGGTAGTTGATAGGCCTTAATGATCCTGGTAGTTGATAGGCCTTAATGATCCTGGTAGTTGATAGGCCTTAAGGATCCTGGTAGTTGATAGGCCTTAATGATCCTGGTAGTTGATAGGTCTTAATGATCCTGGTAGTTGATAGGCCTTAGTGATCCTGGTAGTTGATAGGCCTTAATGATCCTGGTAGTTGATAGGCCTTAATGATCCTGGTAGTTGATAGGCCTTAATGATCCTGGTAGTTGATAGGCCTTAATGATCCTGGTAGTTGATAGGCCTTAATGATCCTGGTAGTTGATAGGCCTTAATGATCCTGGTAGTTGATAGGCCTTAAGGATCCTGGTAGTTGATAGGCCTTAATGATCCTGGTAGTTGATAGGTCTTAATGATCCTGGTAGTTGATAGGTCTTAATGATCCTGGTAGTTGATAGGCCTTAATGATCCTGGTAGTTGATAGGCCTTAATGATCCTGGTAGTTGATAGGTCTTAATGATACTAGCAGTTGATAGGGCTTGTTGATCCTAACAGTTGATGAACCTTAATGATCCTAGTTGTTGATGGACCTAGCAGTTAATTAAACCTTAACGGATATCATAAGAATTCGATTCAAGAACTGGGTGTTGTATTTATTTGTTCATATTTTCACAAGCGGCCGACACCAGTACCGGCTCTATTACCTCCTAGTAGCTATTACCTCCTAGTAGCTATTACCTCCTAGTAGAACGTAGGTGTTTTAACAGGCTTTCCGTTGCACCTTTAAACTAATAATTGTTCGTATTGTTATGGATAAGGTTTTGCCATAACGGAATTCAAGTAGCCTATTGTAATTTGCATATGCTAATTTTCATGCCAGCAGGTCAGTAATTAAAGGCGTGAACTGCTGTATGCACATTTAGCGTCTTGAATGTGCAAATGTTAGTTAAATAGTCGGATATAAACTGTGTGCTGATTATTTAGGAGTCTTTTTTTATATTGTTTAACTTTCATATAGGTTTATCTAGAGGGAATACATATGTGATGGAGACTGTAAGGTGATTAATAAGTGTTTTAATTTGCATAACTGTCTCTTAAGAGGTCTGTAATGGTTTATTAGTTTGTAGAGGCTAATTGTGAACCTCAGGAGACGGTATAGAATAAAATTGTGTTAAGGGTTATGATCGTATGACAGCCTAGTTAACGGATTTTGTCTGGGTTGTGGAGGAACGAAAGTAGATCAGCCGATTATTTCAGCAATTAAGAGAGCAGTGTTATCAGAGCTCCCCCATATGAAAAGTGTACACCGTAGGAAGTGCTTTACTCAATTAACTACTGACACTAGGGAAATGTGGGTTTGATAGATTTATTATTTCTGTAGATGATTAGTTACTCGCTAATGAAATTTTAAAGGTTATGTTCCAATACAAACCTATTTACAATTGGCGGTTACGTACACATAGCAACAAGTTGAGGGAGGATGGGTTGCAACCGACTCACTGCTATGTTAAGACAAGTGGTATGGAGGCAGTGGGATTGTACGGATGTATCTTATCTTGAGGTTATCTTGAGATGATTTCGGGGCTTTAGTGTCCCCGCGGCCCGGTCCTCGACCAGGCCTCCACCCCCAGGAAGCAGCCCGTGACAGCTGACATAGGTACCCAGGTACCTATTTTACTGCTAGGTAACAGGGGCATAGGGTGAAAGAAACTCTGCCCATTGTTTCTCGCCGGCGCCCGGGATCGAACCCGGGACCACAGGACCATAAGTCCAGCGTGCTGTCCGCTCGGCCGACCGGCTCCCCTGACACTCGCCAAATGAAACTATAAATATTCGTTAAGTTGTTAAGTATATTTTCACTGAAGGTTCAGATTTAGTAATATCCACAATTAATCTCTATATTATTCCATGATTTGAATAGTTATTTACGTGTTAGAGTACCTTAAGGTTAGCCACAGGTTTTCATCTATTTTGCCCAGGCTGAATAATTACTGGCGTTAAGATGTGATTTATTATATTATATATATCTTGCTACTTTTCTTTCCTGTTGACTGGAGAGAATTTCTTGCAACGGCTTTTGGTTAACCCAATTTTGCTTCACCACTGGAATAATAATATATTTTTCTTGTGTATAACACAATGCTTACGTTTATAGTGCTGTCTTAATACCCTTATCTCTTTCGGTTTTACTTCAGATGACAGGGTTTATAAGATTACATTTTATTTAGAGAAAGGCTTGTTTGGAGCTGGGCCTGAAAGATATAATTTAACCACATGAGAACTAACACTTATGAACTCGACCCAAAAATAGTTTAATATTATAGTTTATTAACATTGATGCTGTAAGAACATAAGAATGAAGGTAAAACTGCAGAAGGCCTAATGGACCATACGAGGCAACTCCTTTTTATATCCACCCAATTTCATTCATATATATGTCTAACCTACGTATGAAACAATCAAGGAATCCTACTTCTATTATGTTACGCGGCAAATACTGTATAGACTTTTTTATAACTTGAGTCTGTCCAACCGGTAATTAAATAATGGATAGTGCTTAATCAAGGATAATTCTAAGTTGAGAGAAGATTAAGGCAACCAACTTATGAGAGTAAAGTAATATATTTGCTGGAGAATACTGGGTAGAGTAAGAGCCTAGTGAAATCTTATTTGTTGAACGGGTGCACTCAATTCAATTTAAATTTCTTTCTTTATTATGTGCCTCTATAATCCTTTACACAGGCACATAATCAATTCAGGAACTGAACCCTCTAGTTCGTTTAGCTAAGCAAATAACAACCTTTTGACGCAAGTTACAAAATTATTCATGTTATATATACATGTACACATACTCATACATACATGTACATATATATACGTATACATATATACATTTACATATTTAATCACCCACACAAACACACAATATTTTGTGTCACAAGTGATTCAGCAAGAGGCTCACAACAGTCACTATACAAGGCACTTTACATCTATGGTGAGTCACAGTTACTAGTCTTGCTGCATACGCTTGTGAAAAGTATGTAATATATATATATATATATATATATATATATATATATATATATATATATATATATATATGTCGTACCTAGTAGCCAGAACTCACTTTTTGGCCTACTATGCATGGCCCGATTTGCCTAATAAGCCAAGTTTTCCTGAATTAATATATTTTTTCTAATTTTTTTCTTATGAAATGATAAAGCTACCCATTTCATTATGTATGAGGTCATTTTTTTTTATTGGAGTTAAAATTAACGTAGATATATGACCGAACCTAACCAACCCTACCAAACCTAACCTAACCTATATCTATCGGTTAGGTTAGGTTAGGTAGCAGAAAAAGTTAGGTTAGGTTAGGTAGTTGAAAAAACATTAATTCATGAAAACTTGGATTATTAGGCAAATTGGTCCATGCATAGTTGGCTGAGAAGTGCGTTCTGGCTATTAGGTACGACATATATATATATATATATATATATATATATATATATATATATATATATATATATATATATATATATATATATATATATATATATATATATATATATATATATAATGTTGTACTTAGTAGCCAGAGTGCTGTACACGGCCTACTATGGAAGGCCCGATTTGCCTAATAAGGCAAGTTTTCCTAAATTTATATATTTTTCTAATTTTTTTCCTATGAAGTGATAAAGCTATTCATTTCATTATATATGAGTTAATTTGCTTTAATTTGAGTTGAAACTAATGTAGATATATGACCGAACCTAACCAACCCTACCTAACCTAACTTAACCTAAATTAACATAACTAAGTCAATAATTTATGTTCTTAATATAATATAATAATAATATTTCAAATAAACCAATTGGAAACAATATTTTGAAAATAAAGAAAATCACTTGATCTATTAGACAAATCGGGCCTTGCATAGTAGGCCGAGAAGTGCGTTCTGGCTTCTAGGTACGACATATATATATGACAGTGTCAGAGCACGGAGGAAGAATTGAAACAGGAATTTCCTTAAGTACTTTCGTATAATAATACATCTTCAGAAGGAGATGTATTACTATCTTCTCCTTCAGAAGATGTATTAATATACGAAAGTACTTAAGGAAATTCCTGTTTCAATTTTTCCTCCGTGGTCTGACACGGTCACATTTTTCATCACGATAATTTTCGTGATTTACACACACACACACACACACACACACACACACACACACACACACACACACACACACACACACACACACACACACACACACTCACTCACTCACTCACTCACACAGGGGAATCGACCAGGTAATCAGGGGAATCGACCGGGTAAACAAGGATGAACTATTCAACACTGGTGGGACGCGAACAAGGGGACACAGGTGGAAGCTGAGTACCCAAATGAGCCACAGAGACGTTAGAAAGAACTTTTTCAGTGTCAGAGTAGTTAGTAAATGGAATGCATTAGGAAGTGATGTGGTGGAGGCTGACTCCATACACAGTTTCAAATGTAGATATGATAGAGCCCAGTAGGCTCAGGAATCTGTACACCAGTTGATTGACGGTTGAGAGGCGGGACCAAAGAGCCAGAGCTCAACCCCCGCAAGCACAATTAGGTGAGCACACACACACACACACACACACACACACACACACACACACACACACACACACACACACACACACACACACACACACACACACACATTATAGTTTACTAGTCAATATCAGTGTCATGGCGTTTTCTGTGTTGTATGACCAGGTTTCAGCATTTGTTAGTAAAGCCTAATGTCCGCGAGCGAGACACGCCTGAGCGGTCTTGCCATATTTTGACAGTTATGTAATTTATTATCGGACATTGAGAAAGTACACCATTATTATCTCGGTAAATATTTATATGCATTTTACATATTGTGTGTGGAATTATTTCCATCTTCATATTGCTTGTCTGAGGCTGGGTATGAAGATTGGACCACAGAACTTTATGCTGAGGCTGTTTTTCTACTGATTTTATAGACAATTATCTGGCTATAGGTGATATACTAGCCAGATAATTGCTAGTGGATAATTGCGACCTTTGGCTAGTTTTTTTGTGGGTAAATTAGCAGCAAGGACCCTGGGGCCAGATTCACTAAGCAGTTACGCAAGTACTTACGAACGTGTACATCTTTCCCCAATCTTTGATAGCTTTGGTTACATTTATTAAACAGTTTACAAGCATAAAAACTTGCCAATCAACTGTTGTTATTGTTATAAACAGCCTCCTGGTGCTTCGGAGCTCATTAACTGTTTAATAAATGTAAACAAAGCCGCCAAAGATTGAGAAAAGATGTACAGGTTCGTAAGTGTTTGCGTAACTTCTTCGTGAATCTAGCCCCTGGTCAGTTGTGTTCATGAAGAGATTGGAGACCTGAGAGGTGGTGGTTTTACTTCACGCCACACGGACGTCAAGGCTGAGTGAGTGCCTCTCCGTGTGGTGATTGACGTATCCCCTTAGGTGGTCAGTGGCTCCATGGAAGGGGAGTACGTCAGAAAGAGTAACACACACACACACACACACACACACACACACACACACACACAAACTCTCTATGCCACACTCCTCTCTTCTGTCTCCTCCCTTCTTTCTTTCTTCTGTCTCACTTCTCTCTCTCCTCTCTTTGATCTTCTCTCATATCTTCTTTCTCTTCTCTCTTTTTCTTCTCATTTCTTTCTCTTTTGTTCTGCCTTTTTTTAATTCTCTCTTCTTAATTCTCTCCTCTCTTAATTCTCTCCTCTTCTTAATTCTCCTTTCTCTCTTCCCTCCCCCTTTCTCTCTTCCCTTCCCTTTCTCTCACCCCCACCCCGCCCCACAGGTGATAATGGAAGACCACTGTAATCCTAATGAACACAGTAGATTGCACTGCACCAGGCTCTTGTCCTACCTTAGGCAAGCAGTTCGATAGTTTAAGCTGAACCAAGTTAAGCCAAGGCCAGGATTCTCACATGTGCTGTGGTACTGGAAATTATTTTAAATTATAAAAATGTCTCCTGCAAAGTTATATCCACATCACGAAAATATCCCACAATAAAATAATTATTTTAGACTGGAGACGCAAAATATTTTTTGCAGTAAATATATACAATTTTAATGACTATTTTTTTTTTGGTCCAACTAGGACAGAGGATTCCAGGACGTACAAGCATTAGTGCCAGACGTACGACGCGCCGGAGTGCGTCGTTTCACTGCTTCAAGCTTCACACTCCAGCTTGTTCGAACTCTTGTGTCATCAGCACTTGCCTAACAATATATGAAAAATAGAGCTTGAGCTCCTGGGCCCCCATCTTTAAGGGTGAGTGTTGGAAATGGTTTCTTCCTGGTTTTATGAGGTTTCCTTATCATTGGTTACCTATGGATATGTACGGTGGCCAGTGTGTATGTAAAACCGGGGTTCGAATCTGTTTGACGAGGATTGTGTTGGTTTCTAATTCGGGTTTTTAAGATTTCATTTAATTGCACCTTTTTTTGGTTTTGAAGTAAAAAAAAATCCAGACGGCTTGACAGGCGCCAGAGTGCTGGTAATTTATTTTAGAAAAAATAGAAACAAGTTAATTAAAAAAATAACACACACACACACACACACACACACACACACACACACACACACACACACACACACACACACACACACACACACACACACACACATATATTGATACTCAAGAATCCGCAAGCACAAATAGCTGAGTACACACAGGGGCCAGCCGGCCGAGCTGACAGCACGCTGGATATGTGATCCTGTGGTCCCGGGTTCGATCCCGGGCGCCTGCGAGACACATTGGGCAGAGTTTCTTTCACCCTATGCCCCTGTTACCTAGCAGTAAATTGGTACCTGGGAGTTAGTCAGCTGTCACGGGCTGCTTCCTGGGGTGTGTGTGTGATGTGAAAAAAAATAGTAGTAGTAGTTAGAAACAGTTGATTGACAGTTGAGAGGCGAGCCGAAAGAGCAGAGCTCAACCCCTGCAAGCACAACTAGGTGAATACACACATTTTTGTCTTGCTTGCTGATTGTGCTTTTAAACACTTAAATGCCTGTCAGGTTCAGTATTGTGCCAACAACAACAGTCTTGTATTTCGCTGTTGTCGGTCTTTTTTGCCTTTCGATTTATATGTACTTAATTAAATGCGATTGCCACTTTTGAAATTGAGCTCTTGGGTCCCGCCTCTTATCATATTGTCTTATGAATATATGCAGTGAGTCTGCCTCCACCACTCCACAGTATGGAGTCTGTCTCTACCACTCCACAGTATGCAGTATGGAGTCTGTCCCTACCACTCCACAGTATGCAGTATGGAGTCTGTCCCTACCACTCCACAGTATGCAGTATGGAGTCTGTCCCTACCACTCCACAGTATGCAGTATGGAGTCTGTCCCTACCACTCCACAGTATGCAGTATGGAGTCTGTCCCTACCACTCCACAGTATGCAGTATGGAGTCTATCTACCTCCACTACTCCACAACCCTTGTTATGGAGTGGTAGATTCAAATTCTACCTCCATCAACTCTACGTCCAAGTTTACTCTCTCCATGACTTATTTTCTCTATCACGTCTTTTCTCTCTCCGCCTCCCACTGTGGCCACATACGAGCCCATGACTGGCACGTGAATAATCTCATTAAGTGATACTCTGCAGCCTCTTAATGGCCACGCAGTTTGGTTGACATGTCATGAAAAATATATTGTCGGAGTGCAAAAACTATATCCGGGGAGCCGGTCGGCCGAGCGGACAGCACGCGGGACTTGTGGTCCTGGGTTCGATCCCATGCGCCTGCGAGACACATTGGGCAGAGTTTCTTTCACCCTATGCCCCTGTTACCTAGCAGTAAAATAGGTACCTGGGTGTTAGTCAGCTGTCACGGGCTGCTTCCTGGGGGTGGAGGCCTGGTCGAGGACCGGGCCGCGGGGACACTAAAAAGCCCCGAAATCATCTCAAGATAACCTCAAGATAAGATAGCAGGGATATCCCATAGCAACAGTCATTACAAACAGGATAGAGAACCTATAACAAGTCATTACAAACGGGATAGCCAAACAATATAAGAAAGAGAGCAAGATAACAAAAACATTCCTTTTCCAAGACTCTCCTTTCACCCAACTGTTTCCCTCTCTCCCCTCACCTCTTCCTCATTCCCTCATCACTGTCTCTCATTCCCCCTCCCAGTCCTCATTCCCTCATCGCTGTCTCTCATTCCCCCTCCCAGTCCTCATTCCCTCATCGCTGTCTCTCATTCCCCCTTCCAGTCTGGCATGGTCAGCACTTTCTGCACTCATCATTCTCTCCTCCTCCGTGGCTAATTACCCTGCCCCCCCCCCTCCCCCTCCCTCCCTCCTCACTAACTACAGTTTAGTCAGCCACTCCTCGCATCCGTAATCGGCTCCTTCCTGATAATTGGCCCACTTTTCTTTATTCTCGCTTAATCAACGTTTTATTAGGCTTTCCTGTGTGTGTGGGTGTGTGTGTACTCACCTAGTTGTGCTTTCGGGGATTTGTTTGTGTGTGTGTGTGTACTCATCTAGTTGTGCTTGCGGGGATTTGTTTGTGTGTGTGTGTGTGTGTGTACTCACCTTTTTGTGCTTACGGGGGTTTGAGCTTCGGCTTTTTTTGGTCCCGAAACTTTGGCTCTTTGGTCTCATTGTGTGTGTGTGTGTGTGTGTGTACTTGTCTATTTGTGCCTGGAGGATCGAGCATTAGCTCTTGGACCCCGCCTTGCTTTCAACCCCTCATATTAGGGCCCTTGTGGATTTTTTACCAGGCGGTTGTTTTAAAGCAATGCTTCCTCTCCTACTTCCCTCTCAAATCTACTTTTACAATGATAAATAGTTTGCTTCCACAACCTGCTCCTTTAGTTCATTCCATTTTCCCGCTACTCTTGCGCTAAATGAAAAACTTTCCTAACATCAATATAACTATCTTGAGGTTATCTTGAGATGATTTCAGGGCTTTTAGTGTCCCCGCGGCCCGGTCCTCGACCAGGCCTCCACCCCTAGGAAGCAGCCCGTGACAGCTGACTAACACCCAGGTACCTATTTTACTGATAGGTAACAGGGGGCATAGGGTGAAAGAAACTCTGCCCATTGTTTCTCGCCGGCGCCTGGGATCGAACCCGGGACCACAGGATCACAAGACCAGTGTGCTGTCCGCTGGGCCGACCGGCTGGATGGGGGAAAGGAATTGTCAGGGGAAAGTGCCAAGCCATTACGACTATATATCACTGGAAAGGGGTTAGGATAAGGATTTGGGATGGGACGGGGGGGTTAGAATTTGGATTTGGGATGGGACGGGGGGGGGGTTAGGATAAGAATTTGGGATGGGACGGGGGGGGGGGTTAGAATTAGGATTTGGGATAGGACGGGGGGGGGGGGGGTTAGGATAAGAATTTGGGATGGGACGGGGGGGGGGGAGAGGTGAAGGCTCGGCGGTGAGTGAGCTGGAGGCTCGACTTGTTAGCAACGGACCAACTATATTCATTAGTTGGGTAAGTATTATGATATTATTAATTTTGGCATAATCTGCGCCTAATGTTTTATTATTGTACAGTAAGAACAATTATTACAAATTCTTGCTAGAATGGAAGTAGGATGATGCCAACACCCACACATGGTGTCAGCAAGGCGGACAGCCCGCCTGCCTTCATACCTCTCACTGTATTTCCCACTTCTATACTTCCCTTCACCTATGCCTCTCCTCCCTCTTTACTCCAAAAAAAAAGAAGGATGATTCGCCATAGAGGTAGCTTTGGCACTTTTCATTGATACCAACCTCAACCCACCCATGTTGGGCATGTACCCCAGAAGAATCACCATACACAATAGGGTGGGGCTAGCCCCAAGTATCTGGCCTTCAACCTAAGACGACACGTTCTATTAGATATAGATCGTCTTGAAGTTCGGAATGAAATTGGCCTGAATCACCTCTCTATACGGTTCACTCCAGCAACTGGATCACCAGCTTACATAAATATCCTCCTGTTGCTAGCCTTGAACATCCATCCCCCCTGTCTACCTTGTCAATACTCTGGAAGATTTTGCATGTCTTGACTATGGCACCACCGGCTATACTTTTTCAGTGTTACGTTAGGTTCTGTCTTTCCTTAGATTAGACCTCTCGACTGTAGGTCCAGTTTTGTAGCAAGTTTTAAGTTTTGTTATGTTTCCAGTAGTCCGGGACATGAACTATGTTCGGTTGAAATCCTCCCCGGCCAGGATACGAACCCATGACATAGCGCTCGCGGAACGCCAGGCGAGTGTCTTACCACTACACCACGGAGACTTGCCTGGTATTGTCCATCCCCCCCAGCCTGTCCATCTTCACCTGCCATGGTATCAGTGGGTATTGTCCCCCCCCCCCCGCCAGCCTGTCCATCTTCACCTGCCATGGTATCAGCGGGTATTGTCCCCCTCTGCACCAGCCTGTCCATCTTCACCTGCCATGGTATCAGCGGGTATTGTCCCCCTCTGCACCAGCCTGTCCATCTTCACCTGCCATGGTATCAGCGGGTATTGTCCCCCTCTGCACCAGCCTAATTAATTGGCACTCAACCCCAACTCTCGACTCCTGTTCACAGGCAGCTCTTACTCTGAACAGGGAATAGATTTGCTTCCTCTCCCCCTCGATCCATTAATTCCCACTCTTATTCCCCCTTTGTCACTCCCTCCGTTCGTTGGTCTCTCCCTCTCTTATCTCCTTGTCACTTCCGCCTGAGAACCACGAAGCTAACAGCCTCTAGGTCCAAGCAATCGTTAGGGAAACCGGAGGTCGGACTTCAGAAAAATACAACTAAATCGTACACAGGTAATACGCTCCCTCAGGATGTCTTCGAGTGCCGACAGGGGCATCTTACCGCTGCCCTTCAACGTATCCTCGACCCACACCGCGAGTTCTTCCGTCACCAGCTCTGGACTGGCATCTGATATTATTAAAGATCAGTCTCCGTGATGTAGTGGTAAGACACTCGCCTGGCGTTCTGCGAGCGCTTAGTCATGGGTTCGTATCCTGGCCGGGGAGGATTTACTGGGCGCAAATCCTTAACTGTAGCCTCTGTTTAACTCAACAGTAAAATTTGTACTTGGTTGTAACAAAGATTCTTCGCGGCGGGGATCGTATTCCAGGGACCTGCCCGAAACGCTACGTGTACTAGTGGCTGTACAAGAATGTAACAACTCTTGTATATATCTCAAAAAAAAAAACGCCAAATATTTGACCTAATATGGTAAACAAGATGTTTGCGTAAGGGGTCTCGCCATTGATGAGCTGTGTACCGTGGCGTGTCATTCTCTAACTGCCCCTTCA